GATGGAAATGTTTGAGAAGTGGCTATTGAGCACTTGAAATGTGGCTTATAGTGTGAAAAAGGAACAAAATTTTCACTTTATTTCACTGTAATTTGGTTTAATTTCAATAGCCACATGTGGCTTACGGCTATAGTATTGAGGAGCACAGCTCCAGATCAGTGCTTCTCAAATTTTAATATGATATGAATCACCTGAGGACATTGTTAAATTGCACATTCTCATTCAATGGGTTTGAAGAGAAGCCTGAGATTCTGCATATCAAACAAACTCTCAGATGATGCCTGTGCTGCTGTTCTATGAACCATACTTTGAGTAGCAAAGTTCTAAAGCAGGCTTCTGATTCTGAGGCCTCTCAACTCTAAGAATCCATAAAACTAGTGACAGCAATCTATGGGCTATTCAGGAGGTCCTTTTGACACTTCAAAAAAGCTTAACAGTACTTCTGACCATGGCTTGGGGCAAGGGGGTGTCGGGGGGGAGGGCACAATTTCTAAATTTTACTTCTAGGAATGTATCTCAGAGATACTTTGGCAAAAATACAAAAGGCATCCATACAGGCTACTTGCTGCTGCACTATATATAATAGTAAAAGACTAAAGAAAAAAATCAAAATGTTTAACAATAGGGAACTTGCTGAATAAAAACAACACAAGTACTGTGTAGCAAGGCAAACACTTCTACACACAGCTATAAAGTGACTGCCAGGATATACTGAAAAAGGAAGCAAATATGGAGGAAAATCAGAGGGGATGCTAACGTTTACCTATATTTGTTAATATTTTTAAATGGAAAGATAAAAAACTTTTAAAAAAACTGTTTTTAAAGATACCTATGTCGGGAAAGAGAGCAAAGTAAAAGGTATATATGTCTGAATATACCTTGTTTTATAGATTTGGCTGAGAAGCCACATAAATATTTTACATAATTATAAAACAAAAATTAATTTTAAAAAAGCCACATCTAAAATAAAAAAACAAAATTTAAATAAACAAGTATGTTTTAAGTTGGTGGCAAAACAAAATAGAGAAGAATTATTTCAAGTGACTTTAAAACACACTGCTTTAACAGTACATTCCTAACAGAATATACCATAGGAACAGTAAAAACTGTAAAATATCTTAAATTGTGCAGAAGTGGTATTGATATTGAGACTGTGTGTATATACTGTGGAAAAAAACAAAACATTATATTGATGTATTAATTTTTGGTACAGAAAAAAAAGATGAAGGTGTAAGATTAAAAATTAAGTTAAAATCCTATATTTCTCAACTTTATTGAAAGTTAAAATTAACTCATAAGGCATTTTATATATTTTTAAGTATATATTTCCTATCTCTGTCCACTGAAAAGCCCTGAAACAATGACCAACCAACAATCATGAACATTCCTAGTGCCTAGAATATGGCAGCTAAATAATATTTCATACTAAAAAGAACTAGGGCTCCTTAGAGAATGACTGCTTCCAGACCTGGGGCAAAAAAATGCACAAAATAAGGTTGGGACCCCTGGTCACACCAAGTGGCTAGAAAGCTATCAAAGACTACTGGAGTCATGACAAAAAGACATCTGAGCATCAATACAAACAATTGTAATGAAATATCTCCTATGTGTTTAAATCCATGAGTTAATTGCAATACTTAAAGTTTTTAAAACTAAAATTCATTGGTCACCTTTGGAGGAGACTAGAGAACCAAACTATGATTTTGAAAATTAATAAATAAAGGAGAAAAAAGCAAACATTTATCCTTCCCTTCCTATACAAATTATACCTCGCGGTAATGAGTTGATGACTGGAAGTTTGTCTCTGCAGAAATATGTGGATAATAAATAAAAATGAAATGACAGAAATACAATAACACTTTACCCTAGTAAAATAATGAATCTAAGCAATAAACTTCAATAGCTCCTAATACAACAAAGAGAGAGACGAGCAAATATTACATACCTCGTCAGGGCTGTACACAATATCTATGAAATTTTCTTGCCACAAAAAAAAAAAAAATAGGACCACGGGATTTTTAACAGGGGTCCATGGACCAGGTCCATGAAAATATCTGGGGGGAATCTATGAACTTGGGTGGGAAAAAAAAATACATACTGATTTTCAGTAACATTTAACTAAAGTTTAGCATTGTCTTTAATTATGAACATAGCCACCAAACTATAGTAATACTAGGAGTACCTATGAGTTTGCCACCAAAGAATTCTGAAATTTTTATATCATACAACAACTGTTGCTGAAATTTCAAAATATCATTTACATTCATTACTGCTCCAAAATCATGTTAAAAACCACTATGAGACCTTGCTTTTTAATATGTTTAAGGAAAAAAAGCACATATTTTAATATATATAACAATGCATTTTTATAGTTTAATACCTAAATAAATGTAATTGGTTTCCATTATAATCTGATGTATTTTACTTTTATGTGTTTAAAAACATCATTCTGAGAAGAAAATACTGTAAACCCACCAGAAAGATACAATGGGCAAAACCCAGAATGTAGAAAACTCTACATGACAAATGAACTATTTCTTCAAAAATAACCTTCAAGAGAAAGAGGAAGCCTACAGAAGAAAGATGTAGAAATAACAACCCACTGAAATGGATGGGCCTTTTGAGCATCTTGATTTTGTCAACAAAAGAAACTACAGAATAATTTGAAGTTTATTTGAGCCAATAACTGAGGACATGCCCAGAAACACAATCACAACAGATTTAGAAAATGCTCTTGAGAGTGGTAATTTGGCAGTTATTTTTATACGTTTAGAATCAAAGGAGGAAAAGGTAAAGAAGGTTACATGAAATCCTCTGGCAGATTAAGGAGGTGAGAGAAAGCAAAGCTGGGAAATCTCTCAGATCGTATAAAAAGTAAAACAGAGAAATACCTCTTTTACACTGGTGTGGATACAGGATAACACTTAACATAATAGACATGTATGTGAGCAACAAGATAACAATGCTAAGTTCTGTGGTCTCAAAACTAAGGAAACTTTAGGCCTGGGATGTGACTATCCACTATGACCTGCCCATTTAGAGATTTATGATCAGATCATCCTATGTGGTTACTGTCACAGTTTATCAGGCCTGCCATGTAGCCTCCTGAGCTTGTCAGGTCTGCTATGTAGCCCCTTCTTCGTTCACAATTTGAATAAACTATTTAGAAAATTATGAGATAATTGGGAAAATTTGAACACGAGTAGATATTTGACATTAAGGAATTATTGTTAATTTTCAGTGGAATAACAGTATTATTATGTTTTAGAATAATGTAATACCTAATGGTATTATTATTACTATGTTTTTTAAGTCCCTTAGCTTTTAGAGATTAATACTGAATGAAATTTATGCATGAAATCATATAATGCCTGAGATTTACTTTAAAATAATCCAGGAGAGGTGAAGTGGAGAAGCGTAAATGAAACAAGATGAGTTAAATAATAATTGAAACTGGGTGATAGGTACATCACAGTTAAGTAATAGTCTCTACTATTATTTGAACATTCCTATAATAAAAAGGTTTTTTACACCTAACAGAAACCCTACGTTCACCCATAAGGCTGTTCAGAAAAAAACGAAACATCACATTTATTGCTTTCAGTTATAATTATGCCAATCAAGTGTGGTTAACATTCATTTTCTCTTGTTAATCAGAAGCTTTGGTGTCTGATTAGTTAGAAGAGAGAGAAAATAAATTCATTATTACTCAATAACTGCAATTCAGAGGGGTTTCGAAATCTTTCAAAATATATAATTCCTGGCAGAAAACTAAATAAATGGGTTTATAATGGAGAAAAACACTTAAGATTGCTGATCTAATATAAAACACTTCACACTGTATTCTACTTAGTATATGTGTTAGGCTGCCCAGGTAGGTTGTAGGCTCCTAAAAGGCAAAAATAATGTCCTATCCATCTTTGTTTTTCCAGTATGTAAATCAATATGGGCTAGCTAAATTGCTGCAAAGGTAAAAAATGCCACCAGGGAAACAGGCCTTTCTGAAGCTTCTATTAGCCTATCTGCATCAGGAGGAACTAACTATAATGGACTACAAAAAGAAATTATTCTAAGGTGTAACTTGGAAATGTATCAACCCAAATACCACCAGAAAGCATTCAACTTTAAAATGAAAATGTAAAATAAGTTACAATGCATATCGAAATAGGATTTGAAAGAGTGATAGAGGTCTGCTCTGTCTGGGCAATATAAATTTTAGAAAAAGGAAGCTTGCTAAGTTTCTCCAGTCCTATATAGGAGCAAGAGTCCTTGAATGCATCAATGGCTCAGCCTTAACTCCTCAGAAGGCAGATACCACAAGTAGAAGAAAGGGTGTCATGAAGGAGGTGGGGACATATAATTTGTTTTGCTCTTGTTCTAGAATCATCAAGTAATTTCAGATCTCGTATTTCCTAAGTAGATTTGTCTGTTGAGATGGTCTTACTGTGACCAGCTGTCAAATTTAATAGTGACAGTTCTCATTATAAATACATTTATTTTCAAGTATAAATGTAAATTTGAACTGGAAGAGCCACTTTATCTAGAGCCTGGTCAACCCCAAATGAACTGACCGTGATGTTCCAGACATATAGAACTAGAAAATCCCACCAAGGAACAGGCATCTAGGGTTTCAGATGTCAGCCTTCTAAAATACAATGCTAGAAGCATGTTCATAAATACCACAGTCTTGTATTTAATGACGTAATTAAGCAAGCTTTTCCAAAAATTGCCCTATAAATTATAACACCCATTACATATTCTATTTATGATTACTATACAAAATAATGGAACAGGATACTTGTGAAATTAGCAGAATATTTTTTCTCTACTTGTCTTCACAATACTTTATATTGAACTTAGACTAGACGGGAGAGAAAGCTAATCAATTATGTAGTATACTATAACAATGTAACAAGTTTAAAGAGGAGCAAGCTTAGTGTTGGTCTAGATCCAGTGTGTAACCCACCAGATTACATTCAATCACTTTAGTTGTAACTCACCGTATTTTCAACTGAAATGAACTTCAACCTCTGGGCGTTCCCAACTTTGCTAGTTCCTGGAGCTGTTTCGTTCTATTCTGACTCTGCAGGAACAAGAACAGGCTTAGAGCCAAAGGATACTAGGAAAAGAGTTAAGGAGTCAACGACTAAATTGACTGATGGTTCAAAATGCCTGATTAACTGAACCTTAAAATTAATGAGAATTTGTGAAGGATTGTATGACATTTTGTTTTATTTTGTTTTCTTTTTTATCCATTTTTGTACATAGTAACTTTTCTAACACTTAAAAATCTATTTTTAAATTTCTGTTCTTTCTTAAAAGAACCAGGAAAGTGAAGGGACCAGAAGGAAACGCAAAGAATAACTTTGGAAGACTTCTTGATGCCTCGTTTTGAATCCTTGTGCTAACTGAGGTTCACAGCTCACCTTCCCTCTTTTGTTTCTGCCCCAGCCTTTGCACTGTGATTCTGTTGACAATTCAAGGTTTCCAAACTGCTGACTTAAACTCCCTGGACTTGCCAATGGGACATCCATCATCATCATTTATTTATTACATTCATGCTAATGGACCCCATCAGAATACTTTGTTTTTATAGTACCTTGCAACTTACAAAAACTCTTCTGTACCCTATCTTATTTGATTTTTGATCAGTGCTGTGGGGTTACAGGCAAAGAAACTGAGGTTGAGAGAGGTGAAATGAGGTGCTTAACTGACATTCAAAAGTGGCAGAATCGAGTACAAAATAAAAACTCTCTGGCACTAAGTAGAGCACATTTGCTAGCTCACTATGCTCCCTCCTACATGATCATGTAAAATAATCTCAAAATGAAGGGTCCATCCCTTTTTTTTTTCTTTCTCTAACCAAATGGATGCTGCTGCAAAAATACAGGTTGGTTGATTCTAACCACATCTCTTTTTATAAATACCTGGCCTTTTATGTGATCATTCAATATGACTTTAATATTATATTTCCTCATATATTTATAGTAGGTAATATAGCTACAGGCTCAGTTATTATAGAATCAAATAAGTTATAGAATTATAATTATTTTACATTTTACTTGAAATTTTGTGTGCAAATGTATCCTAACATACTCCAATCAGTTTAATAAATATTGTCCACAGTAATGAGGTATACAACTCTCTGCAATACCTGGCAACTTTAATCATCACAATATTAGCCCACAACCAATAAGATAGAAACCTTGCCAGTATCAGATCCTCTAGAAAAGTAAGAGTTAAGCAAAAAATCAAATGGATGCTAGTTGAAGGGACCAGCATTCAGTGCCTTGATTGGCTACTGAACCTTAACACACACACACCTATGGAGAAAAAAAGAAGAGCCACTTGAGGTGTTGAAGGTAACTGTACCTATGGACTGCACGAAGCACACCTGGAAACTGCAGCCTTATCGAAGGGACCAATCTAGCTCAGGGATGATCAAATCAAGTTTCTACCTGTGTCTTTTTTCAGGAGATGGGGTAGCCTTTGCAGTAGAACACCACTCCAAGACTTCTGCCTAGAGGCCGGACCATGTGGGAATTCTTGCCTGCTTCGTGGAAATGGTCCCAGCTGGCAGGCAACTTCAGCAACCCACAGTGACTTTTTTACTTCCATCTTCTTATTGGTGCCCAGTTCAATTCAGCAAATGGTTTTTTTTTTAGTAACTAGTAAGTTCCTGACACTATGTCAGGCTCTGGGAATAAAAAGAAATAATAAACAAAACTCCTGCCCTCATGGAATTCACAATACAGCAGTGAAGAAAAACAGTAAAGAAACAAGTAGGATGGGACATACCCTAATCTGAGACTTCATGGAAGGTTTTACTCATGAAGTGATATTTCACCTGAGACTTGAAGAATGCAGAGAAGTTGTTGAGGCCAAGAGAAAGGGAACATGAACTGCTGTGCTGCCCCAGCAGAGGGGATAGTATTGTGAATTCTCTAGCATGACCGAAGCATGGAGATCCAGCTCATCCAAAGGATGCACTATCTCTTTCAAAGCATGGAGATCCAGCTCATCCAAAGGATGCACTATCTCTGGTACAATTGGAAAAAAAGTCTAGCAATTCTTGATCGATTATTTCAAACACTGACCATGCACAAAGGTTGTGAGTTAGTTGAGAAAAGGTTTCTTTGACATTTTATAAATTATTGCTTACATTTTTGTGGTCTTTGTGCTCTCAAGCTATTTTTTAATTTGAACCATTTTTTAGATTCTATCACCAAATGTAGTAGGCAGAATAATGGCTCCCCAAAAATGTCTATGCCCTAGTCCCCCGGAACCTATAAATCGGTCACCTTACTTTGTGTGATATGGTAATATATTAAGAAATATATATTTTTTGGTCTGGGCTTCTGGTCAATCAGAAGTACAAGGTAACAACCCGGACTTGAGACTAGTGTCTGAAATGGGGGTTAGGGGAATAGGAGAGTAATCTTTTGGGACCGAGCCCTTAACCTGTAGGGTCTACACTAACTCCAGGTACACTAACTCCAGGTAGTTAGCCACTAAATTTAATCATAGGATATCCTGTTTGTGTCTGAAGAATTAGAGAATTGGTCGATGGGAGAAAAAAACCCACATTTGTTGTCAGAAGTATTGAGTACAGGAAAAGGTTTTTTCCTTTTCTGTGGCAAAAGGGACTCTGCATTGCGATTACAGTTAAGTACCTTGAGATGGGAAGATTAGCCTGGATCATCCAGGCAGGTCCAATCTAAACACATGAGTCTTTAAAGGGAGAACCTTTCCAAACTGTTGCCAAATAGAGATGTGACCACAAAAGAAGAGTCAGAGAGATACAACATTACTGGTTTAGAAGGTAGAAGAAGGAGCCATGAGCCAAGGAATGCAGATGGACTCTAGAAGCTTTTAACGCAAGGAAATCCATTCCCCGCTAGAGCCTCCAAAAAAACACAACCCTGCCAACACCTTGATTTTAGCCCAGTGAGAACTGTAAAATAATAAATTTGTGTTGTTTTAAGCCACTAAATTTGTTAATTTGTTGTGACAGCAATAGAAAACTAATACATTATTGCGTATGATACTTTAAAGCAATACTTAAATCATAAAGCTGTAACTATTTACACTCATCTCAATGAATTTCCTTAGTAACAAGATAATCACATCAAATAAACAGAGTATATGAAATAACTACAGACAAAGCTGATCAGGAGCCATTCTGGATTAAAACACTCTCATCATTTCCCAGGGAGAAAATAAAACCATTACATGAAACCAGGAACTCTATAACTAGTTTTAGGCAAACCAACAGAAGCAAAAATTATAAATCCTTTATTTCTTCTTATATATTACATCCTGTATAACTCTTAGATAGTCAAGAACACAGGGAAACATAATAATACCTTCTATACAATAAAAGGGAGGCAAGTGCCAGTCACTGAACTAAGCTCTTACATATATTAATTTATTGATATTATTTATTTATTCACACAACCTTAAAATGTAGGTATCATTTTGGCAAAGTTCAAGTCTTTTAATCAAACTTACATGGTAAATAAATAGCAGCACTGGATTAAAATCCAAATAAAACTCTAAAGCCTTTCTACTATGCTAAGAAAATGAAATAATTGTGGGAAGAGAGGTAGAAAGGTGCCTAGTTTCAGAATGATGACCTCTCAATTCCTATGGCATTTGGGTTGTAACCCTCTATCCCCATTTTCCACATTCTGCTTATAGCGTTACCTATGTCTGCTGCATTTGCTTTACCAAATTATAAGTGCAGAAACTGTGTCACGGGTATTTTTGTGTCTCCCTCCACCCCCAGCCATACACACATCCACACAATACATAGTACTGTTATTATTATTATTGCTGTTGTTACAATTGTTATCATTACTATTCCTATTGTTACTGTTACTATTATTGTTATTGATAACAACAATAATAATACCTACACTTACTTGAGTGCACACTATGTACCAAGCAGTGTTCTAATAATCTCACAATTTCACAGTCCTAATTCATTTAATCCTCCCAACAATTCGATGAGGTAGGTACTACTGTCATTGCTATTTATAGATAAAGCAACTTGAGGCATGGAGATGTTAAACAACTTGCCCAATATCACACGGGTAGCAAATAATAAGACCCGGAGAGCGATCCAAGCAGTGTGGCTCAAAATCATTATTATACTGGAAGTACACTACCGTCACCTATTAGGGACTCAAAAAAACCTAACAAAAGTGAGGTGGTTTAATAAAAATAATTGTGAGCCAGGTGCCTTTCTAAGTGCTTACATATGTTGTTTCATTTAAATCTTACAAAAACTCTTGTAAGATAGGGATCATGAATACAATTGTACTGGTGAGAAAGTTTCAGCTGTTCAGAGAAGTAATTTGCCTAAGGTCAGAAAATCAATAAGTCTATATTTTTTCCATTCTACATACTGCCTCCCTAATAATAACAAAAGTAAAATATATATTGAGGATTATGATACCATGCAGGGAGATCAATTGATACAAATTATCCTGCATCTCTAACAATGGGCATTGATTACCATAACCTATTTGATTACATGTTCTAAAATTAATTCTTTTAATAAGGAATGTTCTAATGAAAATAAGAGGACATAAAATCTATTTATGATATCCTCCCTCTGTCCTCCAGTTTTTCATTGGCTGAAATGAGAAAAGGTGAAACACATTTTCAAATCACCTATTCTCTTTGGATATGTGTCAGAGGAACTTGAGTCCTACAGTTTATATGAGGGAAGGGACAACACTAAACTGTGCACAATCTGTGGAGGACACGGCCTCTACCTCCAGGATCCTCCCTGCTCCCAGACTCCTCTCCTCTGTGAGAAGCCAATGTGAATACACTCCAAAGGGCAGGAACTGGAGCTCCAAGATTGTTGACAAGGTGGATGCAGAGATGGGGAAATGGTAGATTCTCAGAAGGATGGGATTAGTATGGGATAATGAACGCACTGCTGTTTCAAGAGTCTGGATAATGAGAGTTGATGACCGTGACAAACACACAACCTTCTCTCTACCCACCCCTGTCTGGCACAGGCACTGAAGAACAGAGTAACGTTCCCTGTTCTCAACAGGCAGACAAGAAATTTTATATTCCTA